TGTACAACTTGGTTCATTCGTCACTTTGTTTGACCACAATCCGATTGTATTGCGGTTTTCTTGAGAGTTTTTCACGCTTTTTGCCGCATTCCTCTTCTGCATTTTTCTAAAGTATGCTGCACGTAAGTCGCTGTTTCTCAAAACGTGAAGTATGAAGATGAAGAAACCCTAAAAATGTGTGTATCGATAAATAAAAAGAAAGTTAAGTTCCTTCAAAAGGGTGAGAGAAAAGAAGAAATGAGGGCAAAATTCATAGTTAATGATTAATCGCAGTACATGGTATCAGGTACCGCCCACCTTCTCTACTATTCTATGTTCCGTCATGTTAATTTTCTCGATCGCTACATTCCTTGACACTACTGTCAAAGTCTGGAGTAAACTTCGAATGCTTTTGTGGCAAAATATATAAATAAATAAATGAACGAATGAGTGATTTAAAACGGCTTTTTTAGCCACCAAGCTAAGATTTGATAAAATAATATTTGCTCGCTGTCAGTTAGCCTGAGAAAACAGCTGACATTGTGCGACGCCACCACTGGTTTCCCCGCGTAATGGGTAGTGCTTCTGATTGGTTAAAATCTTGTTCATCCAATTAGAAGCACTTCCCAGATCTGGGTTGTGACACGTCATCAGTATGGATGTTCTCCGCCCTACGTCATTTCTTGGAGAAACCAGTGGTGGCGCCGCGAAATCAGGGCACCCAACGCCAATTCTCGGAAAATATCTGTTCGGAAGACGATTTGAGATCTAGAATTTTAGGAACATTTTTTGTAAAATTTCTTGCTTGCCTGCCTCTCCTAGGATTTTCTAACATCTACAAAATGGTATAATTGCCCATTTTTTAACGGATGTTTACCCTAAAAAGGTCACCTAAAATTTTCGGAGGCCTTTTTTCTTGTTGAAATTTTTTAAAAGGTAAGTTTTGATCCTTATAATTTTCGGATCACTATTGACTTTTAGCTAAGAAAGCCGAACCGATGAAATATATTTAGGGGATAAAAATATGCCTATATCTACCGTCTAAATACTAAAATACGTTCAACAATGCTATGTTTAAGTGGTTTTGAACTATATTATCGTTGAGTGTCCCTGCGAAATGTCGACTGTTTCGTCAAACTACTCAAAAAGTTAACATGTTGGATTTTCTAGTACCTGCAAAGAGTTGAAGATGGTAAAGATGTACTGAAATACGAGTCCAGCATCTGTGACACTTAGGACACCAAACACCCAGGTCAGTCCCAAAAGAGGAAACAAAACTACGCATGCTTTAACTCCTTGTCGAACTCTTTCCAGATGAGTTGTTTTGTCGGCTTGCATTCTTAGAATCTCATGAACCACTCGAGCAAGTAAAACTGAGTTTATCTGTGTGGACACAATGCATGAAAATAAGATATCTTTTGATGGCAGAAACCTTGGACCCTGTTTCTTTCTTTCTCTCAGGTCTTGAAAATATAACTACAGTAAATAAATAAATAAATAAATAAATAAATAAATAAATAAATAAATAAATAAATAAATGAAAACATAAAATATAGTCGATAAATAATCGATCAAAGCTCGGACGTATGAAACACCTCAAGCATATCACACTAAGTATGACGTCACAGCCTCCCCTCCACCGCAGCGCTCTGTCCCAGATGCGTTTATTACCCGAAAATGAATGAATAAATGAAATGGCGTGGATGAGAGGACAATAGACGTGTCCTCTTTACAGTATATATTTACATTTTAACAGTAAGCCCTGACGTCAGCATACAAGGGCGCCACTGGTAGCCGCTATCAGTCCATTTATGGGCTTACTGTAACCCACCAAGACTATGATATGAAAGGTAGCTAAATATTCTGGTTTTCTTTTTTCTACATGAATCGTTATTAATTTCAGTTTTACGTCTTACATTTTCATTGCAAATATTTGATGATTATATCAATTTTTAATTAGTTACAGATGAGCCTCAATATTCTGTAAGCAATAATTTTTTTAACTTGTTCTCTTAACAAACTCATTCACTTATGGGACATTTTCACTTTCTTACCCTTACCGTGCAAACTAAGAAAACAGGCGCAACAAACGTCCAGATAAGGTTATTTTTGAAGGAAACCCAGCAACTGAAAAAAAATATAGAAAATCAAGGTGTTACTAAGAAAGGATTGCTTGATAAAACTTGACGGTTAAAATTGGACATGTTGAAGAAAAAGCCTACGAAGACTTTTTTAAAAATTTTCAGTTGTTTGAAAACCAATTTTTTAGGCCTGTAACATGAACGTGCTGATAATAATTCCTCTGAAAAAGGCAGTTTGGGCAAATTTCATATTAAGTAACTTTGCAATAAATAAATAAATAAAAAATGGTAATAAAAAAATAAATGGATTCTTGAAACCTCCAAGTTTTTCTTGCTCCGTTTTGTTCGGTAGTATTAAGATCTGGTTTGTTTACTTACAAATGATCATGAACATAGCTTTCTATCCCGCCATCTTGAATGGAAGCAATCACGATCGATAAAACCACAATCAAAAGGGAGACGCCTAAGGTTCGGTTGAAAACGAAAAAGAGAAAAATGAAAAGTTAGGCTCAGTTGGGTTACGTCAGCTACGTCAGCGTAGCACTCTTATGAAAACTGTCCTGTGGTACAAATTCCTCTGAATAGCAAGTCTCAATTGCAAGTCCTTGTAAGTACGTACAGAAAGTAAGATAAACCAGGAATCAATTAACGAAATGCGTTTGATCCCGGAAAGGACTGACAAGTCAAGACCTCTTGACTAGATCTACCAACCGGGCCATTTTCTGTAGTAGGCTTTTGCTTTAATACTTACCCCAAGCCACTCCATAGAACAAGCGCCATCTGATGACCGTATTGAACACTTTGACAACCATCAGATACAGGTAAACACCCTCAAATAACATCCAAGCAAATCCCACCAGATAGAAGTAATGAATCATGGCTGCTACAAACACACACAGTTCCTATAAAGA